ATATATATATATTTGTGAAAGTCTCCAAAAATCTCGTGATTAATGAGAGACAAATTTTAAGATTCTATATGAGTACTTTTTGCTTAAAATTTAGTATTCCAAAGACTTTTATAGAAGTCTCCAGAAGTCATTAAAATTTTAATACCTCAAGATTTATAGAGACTTTTAAAAAGTTTCAATTGAATATATCGTAACTTTTAAAAACTTTTTAAAAGTCTATAAAAGTCTTAATTGAATACACCGTGACTTTTAGAGTTTAGAGAGTCAAAAAGTTTCGATTGAATATTTTTGAACTTTTTAAATTTCAAAAAATTATTAAAAGTTTCAATTGAATAGCCCGTAAAAATAAAGTTATTACTAATTTTACTTTTTGTAAATAAGAGCTTGTTTGGGAGTGATTTTGAGAATTGATTTTTTGATCGTTAGGAGAAAAGTGGGGTCCACCTGTGAGAGAAGAAGTCAAATATGACGGTTGAAATAGTGAAATAACGCTCAAAAAATCAATTTTTTTTGTGAAAAAATTGGGCCCAAACAGGCTCTAAATAAATTATTCTAAAATTTTCTGATTTGCAACTCTTTTTAACCTTAGCAAACATGGTCTTGTACCACGTGCCGGGTTCCTATCCAGGGGCTCTTCGGCGGTAGCATCATCCCAAACCGCGCAGAAGAGAATCAGAGGATGGCGGGTGTTGTGCTTCCTTATTTGCCTGTAACCAAACCCTCAACCGTCTTCAAAACTCCAACATATCCGAGGTTTGCTCTTTCAATCTCTTACTACTCCGATCGATTATCGACCACTGAATTCTTCGGCATCCAGTTGACCCTGTCACTATTATATGTTTTTTTAATCGGCGGTTTGTCCAATCGCAGTTCAAATTTAAGAATATTTCGACAGAGCAAAATTTCCTGCGATTATTCATGCTTTGAAGTAAGTGTGAAGTTTAATTTTAATACACTTCGTGATTATAAATACTGCTGCTCTAGTATTTCTTCTAGCTTTGAACCGTATGACGAGCTAATTGTATCCCACATTGCTTGTGAAAGGCCTGCCTTGTGGGGTTATAACCAGCTGGTTTTTTTAAGGGTTAGTTCTACCAATGTAGTTGTTACATAATTACAGTATCTTAAAATATGTTGTAGTCCATCTCAATGGATTAGTGCCGCAGTTGTACATATCAAGTATCAACTAATGACAGTAGAAATATAATCAAAATTTGGAAGCAAATGCCTACTTTTTGTAAATCATAAGATTAGTGAGTTCACTTTTAATTCTCACCCGAAAATTCACGAAACATATGAACCCTTTGTAATTGCAAATGAACTATCTAGTCTGTTTACGTTTAATGATAGCATTTAACTTCAAATGAAAGGGTGGGAGGATATTTGATATTAATCAATTTTATGCTGTGTTTTCTGGTATGTGATTTAAGTTGTCTGATACTCTATGATATATCTTTCTAAATGTATTTTGAGAGGCCATTTTTCAAATCGTGACAACGCAAGAGGTGATTTGTCATTCATGTTTGCATTATTCTTAACCCTAAGATGGACATGCATGCTGTTTTTACTGTTTCGACATGTTACTCTTACATCTGGTTTTAATGTTATTGACATCTACTTTCCTTCATACATGTACACTCTGCAGACTTAAACTCTAGACTGTTGATGCCCTCTGCAGCAATCATTTGCTGATGTCTCTGTTTTTTTCCTTATTTGTATTCATCAGTTTAAGATTTCCTTTCTTTTTTTCAAGTATGTGTTAGTTGTTTATTTTATAGTTTCTGTGTTGATAATTGTTGTTGGAACACTTTTAAGTGCTCTCTTCTTCTTTTTCCCAGATAAAAGACGTTAGCTATCAATCACCAGGGACCAAGGTCAATCTTTTGAATAGAATAAATTTCTCCCTTCCTGAAAAAAGGTACTTTCATTTCATTTTGTCATAAAGAAGTACATATATTTATAAAGTAAATATAAATTTTTAACTTTCTCTTTGCATTTTGCAACTGGTATTGTCCGAATTTTAACAAGAGGAACCACATCAATCCATCCCGAACTTGGTGGTTAAACTTTACGGTAATGAAATTGTAGGGGAGGTCTTGTGGAAAAATAGCTCGCTTGGATTATAAAAAGTTTAACACCTCTTGTTCTTATTCCTTTCTCAACAAAAAATGTAAAATTTAAAATATCTTATTTTTGACTATGAACTGTAGTAAGTTCGTTTGATTTCTATGTCAAATTGAACTGAAACACAGTTTATATTGAACCCACTTTTTTATCTTCTGGTGGCAGGGGTTTTATACTTACTAACGAGCTCCATATTGAAATAATTTGTATCTTATCATGCGCTTATGCAGCTTTGGATTGATTTTTGGACGGAGTGGAAGTGGGAAAACTACTCTTTTGCAGGTCCTCCTTTTGATCCAAAATTTGTGCTATGTTCACCCAACATTTCTGTATCTACTGATTTCCCTGCTGTCTTAAATTCTACTCAAATATTTGACGTTTTCATACAGTTGATTGCAGGGTTAAGTAAGCCAACATCAGGCTCCATCCATGTTCAAAGATATAATGATGATGGTCACCCAACTCAATCCCCTGAATTGTTATTGCCTGGAAGAGTAGGTATCGTTTTTCAGTTTCCTGAAAGGTATCACCTTCTCATGAAAGCATTGGAGACAATTTTAACCTTTTCCGTTTCATAAATTTTGGTTCTTTAACTTTATCCTAACTTGAAAAAAATGAACTTATACTGCATATTGAATTACAATTTGTTTATTCAACATTCTTGTTGCCTCTTGCACCTGAGGTCTAAAACAACTGATGAAAGTGCTAGGCTTACTTCCTTTTCCTTTCCTTTCTTATTTTCGGTTTTCCTCTCTATTTGTGTGTGCAAATGTTTTGCAAAGTGAAGGAACTTTTTCTCTATGACAATGGATATGAATATATATATATGGATAAGGATAATGGATTGATATTTTTCTTCCTTTTTCCAATCTCCACCGCCTCACCTCTTTTTTTTCTTCCATTTTTTTTTTCAATCTTGCTTCTACACATGTTTGGTCTATTGCATAAGTGTATGGTGATGATAAATGACAAGTGGGTTGATTATTGGGTAATAAGTGGCTACAAATTCTAGATTTACAATGGAAGTCTCTCATTTTCCAAATAATATAACTTAATCCCCCTACCTTTCATTAAAATCATATGATATGGACGTTTTACTGAAAACAGTGAAGTATTGCACAGGAAATCCAGATTGATCCCTCGACGTTTAAAAATTTATATCTCAAGCCATAAATATTCAAATTGAGTGATTCCTGCGGCCATATTTAGAAAACTCAAAGAGGAACACAGAAATATTTTTAGAGTCTCGAATGGATGTTTATAGAGTTAGAAACATCGTTTTGAAGTTGACCCCGAAGCTGTCCCGTTTCTGCCTTTTATCACTTGCAAAGAGAAGTTTCCTAAAAATTTTCTCTTAACACAACATGGAAGATATGATTACAAAATTTACTTTTAATACCATATTACATCATGTCATGTACATGTTTTTACATAATACCATAAGAAAACAGATGGAAAAATAGTCATCGAACAAAACATACAAAAGGAAACTTTCGATGCAAAACATCTTTGTCCTTAACCCATCATCGCTTTTGCCAACTAACTTCCATCAATCCAACGATCATGGATCTGAAAATTTAGTATAAAATACTATGAGTATAAGGAATACTCAGTAAGATACCATATTTGAATTTTATCATGATAATACTACACAAAAGAATGCAATCAAACACATACTTGCACCTTCCGGCTTGTCGGTGCCCTTCGGACTTGTCCTAAGGCATAAATAGATATCTAACTTTGTGGACTTGTCCACCATATGCATATTATGGCTTTTCATGCATAACTTAAGTATAAATATTACCATGGAATCATACCCCTTAAGCATGGAAAGTATCTTACCGTAAAACTTGAAGAAACTTCGATTGAAATATGAATTGAAAGTGCTAGGCTTTACTTCCTTTTCCTTTCTTATTTTCGATTTTCCTCTCTATTTGTGTGTGAAAATGTTTTACAAAGTGAAGGAAATTTTTCTCTATGACAATGGATATGAATATATATATATATATATATATATATATCCAATCTCCACCGCCTCACTTCCTTTTTTCTTCCATTTTCTATTTTTTTTTATCTTGCTTCTACACATGTTTGGTCTATTGCATAAGTGTATGGTGATGATAAATGACAAGTGGGTTAATTATAGGGTAATAAGTGGCCCCAAATTCTAGATTTACAAAGGAAGTCTCTCATTTTCCAAATAATATAACCTAATCCCCATACCTTTCATTATTAGCAAAGTGTATCCCAAATTTAAATTTGTATCCAACCTACATATTCAAATATTGTAGATTGTAAAATAAATCCCAACAAGATAATTTAATCATTTGGTCAATTGAAGTCCTAACAAGATAATCCACTTCATTCAAATTCAAACTTGACTTGAATTTCGACTACTAATAATCACTTCATGTATATATAACATTTAGCATTTCATGCTTGCATTCATTAGCTACATCTAGCATTAACCCCTACAAAGGTGGTGCCCCCTTTATTCTTATGGCCAAAAATAATATTGAAAATTAAATCGCTATCCTAAAAGAAATTTAAACGAGCATAAAATTTCGGAGTATTACAGAAACCCTAACCCAAATGGCCCCACGCCACATATAAAGCCACACCAATCTGGGATGCAAACCCAGATCACACCAAATCCAGCCACCATTCAGGCAGACGCGCCTGACCGGAGGACAGTGCAGGCGATTCCGATGCCGGAGGTCGGTCGGGGAGGAGCACGCGCCGGCGCCGGCGAACCAGAATGTCAGGCAGAATGTCCGCAGTCCAGTAACGATACCTATTTTGCCGTCTAATATGCCGTTCACACACAATCAGGGAAGGAAGTTTGTGGATGAATTCGATGTGGCCTCCAATCATCGTTTTCGAGTTGAGGCGAAGGAGTTTGCAATTTCTGTCACCAATCTTGGTGCTGTTAGATTGACCGAATGGGGCTTGAAGATATCTAATGCAATTAGCATGGAAAGGTTTGGTGCACTTTGGATGGTAAATATGGTGGATAAGTTGAGGGTGACTAGTAAGCAAGAGGAATTCATTTCTAGGTTCAATGAGTCATCAAGAACCTTCTTGGCACAGCGTTGTGCGAACAGCCGTGGTAGGTACTTGATGATAGCACAGTATGGGGATAGGCGTAGGAAAGGAGTTGTGATGGTGTCGGAAGGCGCGAATGGAGAAGGATGGGCATCAATCTCCCGGGTATTTCAAACTGTTGTTGATTCTTTTGTTGCTGGGGATAAGGCCAAACGTCGACCGGTGAATGAACGTAATCGACAAAGATTGACTTATGCAGACGTAACAGCAAACTTACATACATCGAAGCAGGTTGACCAGCGGATGCAACAGCAAAAGGAGATTGACTCTCAATGTCAGTGTAAACGAAGGTCAAGATTGTTGTTTGAATAGGGCTGAAATTATGGCCCGTATCCAGGAATTGAAAGGAGCGTTGGAGGAATTGATTAGGCTAGTGGGAAATGGGTATGAAATGGGTCCCAAGAAATTATGTTGTTACAAGTGTGGAGTAGGTATGGACGAGTATCCAGCTATTGGAAAACAAGCATCGGGATTGAATATGAAAGAATTGGCACATAATCAAGTAAAGCAGGGAAGACTCGAAATCACTTGCGAGTCTATTGATCGGATTGAAAAGGACGAGGGACATTCCAAATATGACAAAGGTGATGTCTTAGAGGGGTTGGATATGGTTGAGGTCAACGCGGGGACCAATGTAGACCGAGAGGTGGTACCTTTGTCTAAAGAAGGGGAGCCGAGTATGGTGAACTTGGAGACAGTAACGATGAGTGGAATGGACACAGTCCCATACGAAGATGGGCTTTTACTAGGCGACCAGGGACGAGGCATGTACTATCAGGGGTGATAGAGCACGACGTGACACCTTTGAGAACAAGGGTTGCGAACACATATAATAGAAGGAACTTTAAGTCAATGAAGGTAAGTGACTTGGGGACGGAAAAAGCACTGGTGTTGTAGGTAGATGGAGCCAAGAAAGGAGAAATAGAAAGTGATGTTATACAGGTGGAGGAAACAGGGGATTTGTTTGGATTCGAAGCTGGACACCCACCTTCGAACTGGGTTCTACAGAAAATTCAGGATTTCAGTAAGTTAATGGGCGTGTCTTGTGATGGATATGAAAATAGATTACTACAATTGTTTGAGATTTGGAGGCCAATAGGGGACAGAAGATGAGTAAACAAGAAGGTAAATCTAGAAGAAAGGGCGATCGTGAACTTAGGAGACTTGAATGGTCAGTTAATTATGATGGCAAGGGTGGTGAATCCAAGAATGGAGTACTAGGGAGGGATGCTGGACTGTTGAAATGATACCACAAATCATTAGCTGGAATGTAAGGGGATTTAATGAAGTTGGGAAAAGGATGGGTGTTTGACATCTGCTAAGGGGTTGGGGAGCGAATCTTGTATGCTTACAAGAAATCAAGATGGAGGTAATCTCGAGGGTGGTGGTTAGTAGCTTATGGGGGGTGGGGGGGACAGCATGTAGGGTTTTATTTTATGGGATCATCAGGGGTTTCTGGAGGCATATTAGTCATGTGGGACACCAGAGTGCTTGAGATGGAGGAGGTGAGTGTTGGATTGTTCTCAATTTCGATGTTCAGAAACATTGGGGATGGATTTCAGTGGATGTTCATAGGTGTTTATGGGCCTAACACTGAGGATAGTAGACGGGGCTTGTGGGATGAACTGGCTGGAATGATGGCTTGGTGGAATCTACCAACGTGTATAGGAGGTGACTTTAATGTGGTTCGATTTCCTATTGAGAGGTCGAACGGTGGGAGACTCACGAGGGCTCTGGAGGATTTTTCAGACTTTATAAGGGAGAATATGTTGGTGGATTTGCCTATGATTGGAGGAGATTTTACCTGGTCATCCAATCGGGATCAACCTGCTCTTTCTCGTATTGACAGATTCTTGATATGCGGAGAGTGGGAGGCTAAGTATTCAGATGTCATTCAGAGAAGATTGGGGAGGTTGTACTCTGATCATTTCCCCATTATGTTAACTGGGAACAGGACGGGTGGAGGACGAAGGCCTTTTAGGTTCGAGAAAATGTGGTTGAAAGTTGAAGGTTTTAGGGAGCAAGTATAGACTTGGTGGACATCTTACGATGTTAGGGGGTCTTCTAGTTTTGTGTTGGATCAGAAGTTGAAGTTTTTGAAAAGAGATTTAAAGAAATGGAATGAGGAGATTGTGGGCAATGTAAACTGTCGTAAAATTCAGTGTCTTTCCGAGATTGATGAGTTGGATAGGTGGGAGGAGAGTCGAAGGTTGGCTGGGGAGTAGAAGGAGAAACGTAGAGCATTAAGGGAAGAATTGGAGAGGTTGGTGGAGATGGAGGAGATTGCTTGGCGTCAGAAATCTAGGGTCAATTGGTTGAAAGAAGGAGATAAATGTACTAAGTTTTTTCACAGGATCGCTAATCGTAATAGGCGCAAAAACTCAATCACAGTGTTGGAAGTGGATGGGATAACTTATG